TAGATTATGAAAAAGGTGAAGAAAAAGAATATTTTATTAATTATATTTGTGATAAATACTTAGTGTTTAATGATTTCCATGCAATTTAAAGCAACAACTTTACTTAGACACATTTTTCTAATATCTCCATATTCAGATTTCCATAAACAAATAAATTGCATCAATAAATGCGCTTATAGAACATGAGATTGTCTTGCAGGCAGAAGTGATAAGACAAGAAAGAAGCAGTAGAACACAGAAGTTAAACACATCTAAAAGAAAGTAATTCCTTGTTATACATATAATCCTTTTAGATTAAGGCTGTACTGCCAGCAGTTTCCCTACCATCTCTCAAAATTTTTACATCTTAATTTCATGTTTTTGTAGCATTATTTACCTAAGTATTAATAGACATGACATGCTGCCTGTACAGATTGCATTGACAAATACTAATTTTCTTGAGTGGTGTCCCCCTTGTTTGCTAGAAATCATGCTTATCTTCTTTATCTATCATGAGATATATATATTATTTTCTTCACATTTAGGGTGCTACTAAACTTGATTTTGGGTAGCTATATTCTCAAGTGGTTGCAAAGAGCAAATTGCAAGCAGTTAGCCTTTTTCTCCAGAGCTATCTATCAATATTTTTTATGTTTCCATCTAGTCTATTGCCTTATTTAAATGATGGGCTACTGAAGATCAGTAAGGAGACTTGACTGTAGAGTTTTTGGCACCTTGTAGGCACCCAGCTGCCTTTCTCCATGTAATCTGACCTAACAACTTGATTTTGAATGTGAAATCAAATTCTTCCAAAGGCCAAATAGAATTTGAGATATTGCACATAAAATAATATCATTGCACTTACCAAGAGCGGTGTCATTTAAAAATCTAAATGAAGAATTTTATATCCAAATACAAATGAAGTAGAAATATTTTATACCTAACCTCCAGCATATCTATTTTTGTGACCATCTTCTACTATGATTAACATTTTGTTGGTTAACAAAAACATTATCTGTTTCAAATAGACAATCACTATTGAAGACATTAGCAGAATATTCCAGTCACATGAGTAAACGATTTGGTCTGAACTACTGTCAAATATGTAAATATTTGACATAGATAATGCTCTTAGGGTCTGTGCAAGAGTATGGTTGGTCTGAATATTTAATTCCCTTGTAACGTCATTGAGCAAAAGCTCCATCAAGAAAAAGATAAATTCTTCTTCCAGTCACTGTACAGAGTGCTTTTACTGTGCCGCACATGGACTCATTAATTAATGACATATTTTAAAGTGTCCTTTAGTCCTCTGCCATGACAGTAATCCTGTTGAGTTATGGTTCTCAGGTACCAGGGGAAGGCAACTGGAGGCTGCTGCCAGGAAGTGAGTCTACAGAGTCATGAAAATTAGTGAAGCTTCCCTTACATAGGCACATCATCTGGAAAAGTTAAGTTGTTAATAATTCATCAACTGTGAAGTGGAGTGAAAGCATATTTATTATCCTTAATATGATTTTGTCTTTTTTTCCCTAAATATTTGTACAATGCTCAACAGCTACAACAGGATTGTTAGGAGATTGGATTTGTGTCATCACTGCTTTGTCTGTGCACACAATCAGTCATTGGAAAGTTGGTTCAGCTCATGTATTCAGTCAGATAGTCCTGTCTTTGCTGTCTCTGGTGGTTCCACAGGCTAGTGAAATCATGAACCTATCATTTGAGATGAGGACTTGAGAAATATAGTTTCATTGCCTTTCAGATACTTCAGCTTCAAGTGAGCCCATTAATTTTTTTTGACTAAAACACACAGCACATTTTAAAGCAGTTTTATTTGATTGGGTAGTCTCTTGAGCTGGGGGCTCTGGAAGACATATAGGTCAGATACTTCAGTTAAATTAGCAAAGCTCCATTACACTATTGCACTAGTCAGACACATTTGAGCCACCGATGATTTATGAACTCTGATGAACCAAGCCTTTAATAAAGGTTCTGCTGTGATACTTCAGGTCTGATCCATGAAGGAACTCCCTTCTTCAGAAAATAATTTATTAAGTTCGCCTAATAAAATTTGTATTTCTTGTATATATGTGAATCTTATGGCTTTAAGACAAAACAGAGTATCGTAATTTATGTCTCTGTTCTGTAATGCTGTACATAGTAGATGGGATTTACAGCATATCTTAGAACTGATCATGGACTCAGATGTAGAAAGCCAAATGTAACTGTTGCTGCTCTCTGAACATCACTAAACACATAGACAAAGATCTACCTCTAGAAACAGAGCTGTTACTCTTGATATATTGTTCTCTCTACCTGTTCTAGCTATATAGGGAAATGATTCATAACAACACAAATTTGTGCTGTACTGTGTGCACTGATTTTCACAGAGGAAATTTTTGAAGTATGTAGAAAATCATACCCCTTCCCACTTCCCACTTCATCATTAGTGCAAAGGAAACATACTGCTTTAATTTTGTGATATACTATTAATCTAAAAAAACACCAAACTTCTTCTAGTCTGTTATCCAGTTCCACACATTTTTTTAACAGTGTTTTTAATTTTATATGGCAGATTTACAGCTGGGGGATAGACCGCCTTCAGACAACTCCCAAAAGGGAGAAATCAATTATTTCAGCATGCATCAAATAGAGATGATTCAAAGATGCTCTTTGAATTTTTCTGTAGAAGAGTCTTCCGGGGGGTGTAACACTATGATGAAGTACTGGTGGTACTATGGTTAGTGTTGGCAGCGCCCAGTTTTATCCATTGCAAGGAAAGGGAATGTGGAAGTTATTTTGCCACCCCTGCTGAGCTCAAGTTTGAGGTTCTCTGCTTTAGAAGCAACCTGTTTTCCCCATTACTTGATTATCCTTCCAGTACCCGAACGGACTGACCCAGCAGCTGGGTAGGCTTAGTGGCTGGTTACAATCAGTTCACATGTGAAGGTTTGTTTTTTTTTTTTATTATTCATTTGCAGAAGATACTCAATAAAATTTTAAGTAATTTTTTTTCCTTTATGACTTCAAGTAATGAAAATACCTTCTAATACTGCACCACTACAAATTCCTGCTGTAAGCATTCAGACAGATGCTACACAGAACACACTGAGAGGTTCAGCCGTTTTCAGGTATTGATTCACACTAATGACAACACAATCCAGAAACAACAGAACAAGCACTTGTCAGCAGATGAGCTGAAGTTTGTCAAAGTTCCTATTGCTTCTCGTAATGCTGTTTCATACAATAAGGCTTTATGAGAAATCTGTAGGTAGATCCTCTGACTTGTTAATAATGGATAAAGTGATTTGTACTGACAGTGTTCCTGAATGTGATTGATGTAGGCACAGGAAAATGTGTATAATAATTTTAAACAGACTTCATTACTTTACTTTAAACATAATGTAGTGGTTTTTTTAGATACTTCAGTGAATATCACACACATCCCAAGAAAAATTTATCCATCTGCTTGTGTCCCATTACTGTTATGTCAATTTCCATAAAAATTATATATATTGATACACATACAATAAATTCTCTAGCTCTGTATGGAAAAACATTTTTAAAATTTTTTTTCCCAAGATTGAAAGTATTCTTCCCTAACTGAAAAACTAATCAGCTAGTTAGTATTTGAGTAATTCATACAAAAATACATTTTTCCAAAACTGCTTTATGCCACCATTACAAATTTTAGTTAACCTAGTCTTAATGAAGACTGGAAAGAGAAGAAATATGCATATAAAAGGCAATTAATTATACATATTAAAGTGCAGTCTGACTGCCCTACTCCATAAAGCAAGAACTTTGGTTTTCTAAGTCTCCACAATGAATGACGCCTGCTTTTTCCATAATGGCACATGAAAACCTAAGCCAACACAAGAAAATCCCAAAACACTCCTCATATCAGAGCAGTAATAAAAAAATCTATTTTCATGACTCTGCTACAATGATTCAGAGGAAAGGGTTAATCTAGGAAAATTGGTTTTGAATCCATGTTATGTAATTATACTCAAATTAAGAAGTGTTTCTAGTTTGGACCCCTATCTACTCTTTCTCTCCAGGGACTATGCAAAATGCTCAGCATTTAGGCACCTTTGTATGGCTTCTGAATATAACATAAATGTGTTTTGAATCAATTTGCTTCCTCTAGTATATCTCCCACTTTTTTTCTCCCTCTGCCATCATCAGATTTTAGCTTTCAAAGGAGCCCTAGACACAAAGCAGTATTTCATAAGCAGTAGATAAACTGAAATGACTTCAAGCAGCCAGGGTAAAAAATCACAGTGAAATGCTGGATTTTACATTGTAAATTCAGAGCTGCCTGTTATTGATCCCAACTGATCTTTGTAAAACCCATGATTGTTAATTGCTCTAGCCAGAATGCAGGAAAGTGTAATCCTCCTGGATATTCATGGATGTTGTTATCAGAACAGTGGTCCCTTTTTTTCTTTAATACAAAATTCACAGGAGGAATATTATCTATTTTGCTCTCTTACTACTGTGGGGATATGTACATGTCCTTGGAATAGCTTCTGTTCCATTGCTCACTCATAAAACAAATCTGGATGGTTACAGTTAAATGATTGCCAAGGTTAAACAGTTATCTTCTGTCTCAAAGGTCCTGAGTGTGTACTGTGGTAGTGTATCTTTGCTATTCTGACTGAGATTTTCTGGACATATCATGATAGAATGCAAGCAGTGGAAGTTAATCTATCACTCTACATGATGATTAGCAAAAGCAGCTACAAGATGTTATGCAAATTGCAAACCAAACCATAAGAATTATCAAAAAAAAAAAAAAGAATTTAATTTTAGGATAATTTGTTGTTATAATTCCCTAGAAATTGAATAAAGACCTAAATAAATGAGTTTCATGTGTGATTTGTACTCTCTGTGGCCCAACAAGCCACAGAGAGTACAAACCAGTACAGAGTACTGGTTAACACACAATGTGTTAACCAGTCTACTATTAAATACTTTATTGTAAATCCTCTTCCTGCCACACAGCATATCATTTCTCTTCAGACAAATCTTTCCTCAACTTCAAACTCAATTGCTTCCTCACTGCTACTAAGAGCTTAGAAGACTTAATCACCTTGTTGCATTTTGGGTGTGATTTCACTTCTCCCTCTTTCAGTGTAGGTCATTCAATGGACGTTTCTCGTAAGTTCTTTATCGTGGCATTTCTAGTGCTCTATGCAGTCCCTCATCCATTTACCTTTATGAGAAGGATTTTAAAGGCAAAATAAAGATACATGCAGTGAATGTTTTATATTAAATAACTTCTGGTAATAAAAACTTTTAGTCTGTTTCAGACTTTTATTGGACTTTTTAACTCCACAACTTAAAGACAAATGTGCTTACTGCCTAACCGAGTTTTGAAAATGAAAAGTACTGTGAAAAAAGAAAGTTAAAAATTATGGAGTTTGCAGCTACCATATGTGTCCTGTTTATAATTTTAAAATATATAATCTACATAAAGTGTGATTTTGATCCAATTTGCTTTTTTATTGTGTCTTTTTTAGTACTGTATCACTGGCAAAAAAAAAAAAAAAGCTTAATTTGAAAAGGAACAGAGATTTTTATCAACATTGAAAGCATTGGCTTTTACTTTTTGAAGGATATTATTTTAATGTATTTTTATCTTAATCCAATTAATATCTTTATTTTCTAATTAAGTCTATTGATCTTTGGGTATTCAGTAAGGTGATGTCAGAATATCCTGAAGGGGAAGGAATTGACCCCTTAGGCAGAATCCAGGGAGCAAATGTTGAGAATTTGAATAATTCCAATGTAATTATACTTTGTCTTTTAAAACTCCAAGCCTTTTTGTCTCATTAACATCTTTATACATTGGATAGCAAAGAGTAAAGGTTAGGAATCCATTAATTTCTCTTTTCCCTTGTTTTACACTGTGTTTTTCAGTCTTTTCTGCACTTAAGTACAGGTTTTGTCAGTGTAGATTGTGAGAACAATCTAAACCTCTCTAAATCTAAACAATATAAATCTTTTTAAATTCCTAGTTCAAGTTAAGAAGTGATGTTTGTAGAAGCAGCATATCCTACTTATCAACCTCTAAGTTAATCTGGTTTTTATTAAAACAAAGCCAAAACCCACTTAAAACAGAGGTTACAGCTGTTGAGTAATTAATAAAGCAACACAAAGTGACATCTATATTAATTATACATGTTAATGAAAAGTCCCTATAAAACTTATTTTAATATACCTTGCTGAATATAAATATTACAGTTCCATATATCACATAATAGAAGTTATAATTGAATGATTCTGTCAGAGCTATAGAGTTTTTAATACTCTCATAATAACAAATGGTAAAAGATAAACAAGCATAGCAGCAGCAAGAACAAAACTTAATGAACCACTAACATAACCTTGTCTATTTGAAAATCATAAGCTTATCAATGTTTATTTACATTTGTTTTGAAAGGCTGAGTTTATGAACCTAAGCCATATAGGGTTTTTTGACAGTAAAACACATAAGTGCGTGTTCTGCCATCCAGCTCTCCTTCTTTCTTCTTCTCTTTTGGTATTTTCAAAATATATAGAAAATGTATCATTATACATTTCTTTCTTGTAGCCAGTCTTACCTACAAAGAATTGTAGTCACAGCAAAAAGTCAATCCCTTCCAACAAACCCAACAAAAGCCAGTATCAAAGCCTCCGTCTCTGAACTGTAAGAAAAGGAGAAAAAAAAAGTACTTTTATTCTCCTGAATTTACTTAAAAGCTCTTGGTAAAAAAAAAAATTTAAAAAGTACAGAAATAAATTGACAACTATATCTGTCTGGCACATTCAGCCATCTAAGAAGGTTAATGCACTTATCCTACTTCCTTTCTAAAAGTATAGTTTTTATAAAAGGACTAATTGTATATTTTTATCATATAATTAAGATATGTCAATTTAAAATATAGACAAGTTAAGACTTGGCCTCTACAAACATTGCTTTCATATACAGATACTGTTCTTACACAAGCAGTTCTTTTCTACAAGATTTATCTTTGATCAAAGGGTAAAGGAAAGAAATCTAAAAACTTATAAAGTATTTAAATCATATGCCTCTTGTCCTAATTTCACTTTGTTTCTTTTCATAAATACTGGATTGCCAGATGTCTGGCTTCAATTGTATATTTTTCTTTATTAGAAATTTTTAATTAAGATTTATGAAAATATATTCTGATGCCAGCAAATGCATTCAGTGAGAAGAAAGTTATTTGTTTTAAATGTGGTGTAAATATCAACTTCTGTCAGTTACAATGGTTACTTAAATTAAGCTTAATATGTATCTTTCATTAAATGCTTGAGAGAGAATCTATAAACCAGAGTTAGCACACAGGAGATTAAATACTGAGGTTTCTTCTCAATTTGCAAGCTCTTAACTCCATAAGAGTGTTTGTGTTTTGTTCATTACTGTATTGCTGAATGAATTTTAAAACCTACTGTGGCACAGATCTAACAGACATTACATTTGATTCATTGCTTGATAAGGCCATATTCAATTAGATAATATGCCTCTTCATAGCTCTGCCAATTTAAGTGTAGTACATTCTGATTGTCATACCACTGACAGGCTAACCAGACCAGGATGGGAGTATTTCATAGAACTGTTTCTGTCATTCCATTCCCTCCTCACATGGAGGAATCTCAGTGCTATTCCTAGCAGAAATCAGATGGAATTAATGTCAGTATGGCTGGTTTGAATGTCAAAGGTAAAAATCTGGAATGCATATCTGAGAACATAAGGGACTCTGGTGTGCAGGTAGATTTTCATCAGTGCTCCTGGTCAAAGGGAAGGGGTTTGAAAGGGCCATTTGAACGTGGTGAATCAAGTGGTTACAGGACTGGTGCCACAGCCAAAATTTCAGCTACTTAGACCATGGGACTCACTTTGAGAAACCTCTGCTGGGAGAACATGGTGTCTTTCTGTCCTAAAATTGAAAGGCATCTCGAGTCTTGGGCTTGCCAAGCTGGTGAAGAGAACTTAAAATGAAAGTTGCTGGGGGAGGGGAACCTCAGTTCTACCTACTCCTAGAAGTCAATCCTATCGTTACCAGTTGGGTGCCAAGGCCAATGAGAGATGTCCATAGCCTGGAGATGGAGCTCAGGTCAGCAGGAGAGCACCTGAAGGGCAGTGCAAAGGAATTTCACCCACTCAGTTCAGTAATTTGGTTTCATTAGGGGCCCAAATTCAATGTCTTGAATCAAATTACCCCACATGGGGAATAAACAAGAGGAATTAGAAATGTGCGCACACCTGGAGGGCTACAATCTTGTTGGTATCACAAAAACCTGGTGGGATGGCTCCTGTGATTGCAGTGTTGGCATGGAAGAATACAGGCTCTTTAGGAAGGATAGGCAGGGAAAATGATCAGGCAGTGTTGCCTTCTGTGCCAATGACCAGCTAGACTGCATGGAACTTCACTTGGAAATGCATCAAGGCCTTATAGGTCATGGTTAAAGGGAGGGCAGGGACAGGTGACACTAGAGTGAAGGTCTGCTCCGCCCCACCAGACCAGAAAGACCAAGCTTATGAGACCTTCTACAGACAGACAGGGGCAGCCACATTTGGACAGCCCTGGTTCTCTTGGGGAGCTTCAACCACCCTGATAGCATCTGGTCTAGTTGAAGGTGGCCCTGTCACAGCACAGGGGCTGGAAACAGATGATCTTCAAGGTCTCTTCCAACCCAAACCATTCTATGAATCTGTGTTTCTGTGATCCTTTTTGGCAAAGAATTGGTCCTCATAACAGAATTTTATCCAGATTCCAGAATTTAGAAGTAATCCCTAATGCTAATGTATTTATTATAGTTCATGGTTCATGGAGCTGCTTGCTCCTTTCCCAGCTTCTTTGTCTGTAAGTGGCTGACACTTTTGTCTCTCTAACTTACTTTGTAATAAATATAGAGGATCAGAGAAAGTACATAACCTTTTGTTCCCTTTTGTGGAAGCTGAAGATATCTGTGATCTAACCAATCTGTAACCAAAAATGTGTGAAACTTTCCTGTTATTCTTGCAAATGTGTTTATTGTTTAAATAGAAGTAATTATTTTTCTTCTGCTGGGAGTTTCAAGTTGAGCCAAATGTCTTTAGCATTCTGCTAGCAGATATTTTAGAATAGTGCACATATGTTCAATTGTTTTTATAGAAGAGATGGCAGGTAGTAACAGTCAGTTTCTTAAACATGTAGATTCAGCTTCTGGAGAATGTAAGCCTAAGCACCAGTATGTTAATTAAATAAGCAAATATTCAATGAAAACTGGTCAAAAAATAAAACTATTTTATTACACTGTATCATGCTATGGTGTTGAAATGGGCTTTTTCCAATTGTTTGGTTGATATTCGGTTGTTCCTGGAGCTGTCAAAAGTATAAGTTGTGTGATCAAAATAATTTTTCATTTTCTTCTGAGTTTTGTGGAAACCACACTTAAATACAAAAAACCAGAATTCTTCAGTAGGTTATACAAAATATTCTATTATATATTTTTCTTCATGGCAGGTGTACTGAGTGGGTTAAAACCACTCTACTTTTGAAATAATAAGTTAGATTGTATACAGGGACCTAGAAGCTTTACATAGCTCTTGGAAAGACCTGCCAATGCTTATCTGATGGAACTGGAGCAGTTCTTCAGCTCTGCTTTGACCTCAAGCTGAAGAACTAAGAATACATAAAGTAATTCTCACATCTGTTTTAAAACAAATGTAACAAGCAGTGTAAAAAAAAATTTACAATTTCAGTTGCAATATCATCCATCCCAGAAAAATACCATATTCCTACATCTTCAGAGTTCATTCTATTTCAGGATGAACTGAATCACTTTTTCAGTTCAGATTTACTTTCGGGCAGAAAAAGGACAAAGTATGTTCTTTCATACTTTGGACATGAAGTATTTTGTGAAGTGAGGTTAAAACTTAACTGCTAAGCTTTGGCAACCTCAGCAGTATCTGTGCAAACTGTCCATTGGAAAAGACAGGATAGGTCTGGTCTGCAATTTTAGAGCAGGCACCCAATCATAGGTAAATAATTGAAAGGCTTGCAGCCTTGACAGGAGGAAAGCAACAAGTCTTTGGAGAGACAGGTAACTTAAAGGTCAGTCTTAGAGATCATCAGATGCACACTGGTATTTTTGAATTCACTGCGTTGGATTTGATCTTAATTTAGGTGCCTAATTCTCCCATACATTGTATAAAGGGAGGTGATAGTGAAATGGTAACTGAGTATTTCTGATTCTTGTTATTAGCTCTCATCCTATCTTTTAAATTGTGTCATATAAACTCTGTTAAAGTCCACTGCATCTTTAAATTGATGTAAACAAAACTAAGATTTTATTGTTTAGGTAAACATTTTTTTTTTCCCTTCTTTCTTCAGCTTGATAAGATTTAGCTTTTGAATACTCTTAGGTGTGATACCTTTCAGGAGAGGGACCTTTTGCCTTTTGAAGACTTTTGTCTATTTGGCTGATTTAAATGACAAAATATTTTGTGGTCAAAACTTGTGTTTATTTCCAGATTGCAGTTATATAAGAGATATGTTCGCCTAATGTTCTTGACTTCTCTTGTTTATATTCATTCATTGCCTTAAATAAAAAGCTACTTTCAGTGTTATTGTTTATTTCTCCTCTTCAATTCATCAAAGGAATATATATTGCCAATTTTTTGAGACATGCATAAAAGGTGTTAAAAATAAAAGAGATATACTAGAATTTCTATTTAACTCTTCTAGTATGAATTGAAATAATTATCAATATCCATGTTTATTTCCCAGTATATATCATCAGTAATGTCGTTCCAGATTTTTTTTTTCATTGAATAGACACTGTCTGAGTTAAAATTAGCTTATCTGTTCTTTTTCTGTCTTCAAAAAGCCATTTGTACCAAGAATTACTCTTCAGGACATGTTTTGTTGCAGTTCAGTAGCAATAAATTTCACAATCAGGATTATTTTAGCCCACTGTGTAAATTTGATTTTTCAGACTATTTTCACTTCTCCAAAGTTGGTAAAAGTCATTATTTCCTGTCCAAATGTCTTTAAATTGTTCTTACACTATGTATAATTTTAAGGTGTGTCAAGACAGACATTCTCAAAGACATAAAGGTTACTATCTGCAATGAAAGTTTCACAGTAAACATAAGTCTTTTTTAAAGTTTGCAAAAATTGCAGCTCCAGCTCTCTAGGGATATTTCTGGCAAGGAAAATGACGATTTGGGGTTTTTAGTCGATGTGGTTTGTTTTTTGGGCTTTTCTGCCCTTAATCTTGATTCTGTAAAACATGACTAAAATTAGTAATATCTATTCTGCTTTCTCCAAATGAAAGACCAATTTAACTAGTTTTAGACTAAATATCTTGAAAACTATTTTTTCTCCTTCCATCTTAACCATTCATTAAAGATATGTCCCCTTTGTAAATATACCTTCATAGTAAATGGAGAGAAAATTTATTCCCTCCACATGAAATTAAATGATATTTGGAAGGTTTTATAGACCATAAGAGATCCTAAACTAACATTAAAAGAAACAAAATCCAGGTAAACAAAACAAGACAAAAAACATACAAAAACCCACAACAAAACAAAACAAAAACCAAACCAAACAAAAACAAACAACCCAAAACCAAAAAACCAACCACAAGCTTCTCCTCTTGCCCTCCATGTTTATTTTTATTGCAGAAAGATTTT